CTTTGCAATTTGCATATGTACACACACACACACACACACACACACACACACACACACACACACACACACACACACACACACACACACACACACACACACACACACACGCACCACCCATTCCCTGGAAGGCAGAAGGAGAATGTTATTTTCATATTACACCAGATAAAGACCATTTCAGTGACTTTGACTCTGTTCTGCACTGACCCTCAGAAAACCTTCAGTAGCTTATATACTCCTGATGTTTCAGAACATACATAGTATAATTTGTTATACATAGTATAATTCAAATAATTTTCCATTTAAAATATGAGTGCTTTAAATAAATAGGCTAACTAAATAAATAAATGCAGCTAAATTATAAAAAATAGAACAATTGGAATTAATAAATAAGCCATGCAAAAGATTTTCAGTGCTTTTTTTCTTCTTCATGTCTCTCACATTCTGGATATCGCATTTTTGCATTTGTTTCATTTGTTGTTGTTGATCTGGATGTCTGTTCAGTGTTCACATAAAATATTTAGTGAGTAAGGTAATTTGGTTAGTATATAGCAACTAATACTGTAAAATATACTATACTAGTATAGTATTACTATATATATATATATATATATATATATATAGTAGCCTATATGGTATAGCTACTAAAATCTTCCACAGAATTGGTAGGAATTCGTAAACAACTGGTACACTGTAAAACCTGATGAGTTAGTTCAACTCAAACCGTTTGAGGAAACCGATTGCCTTAAATCATTTAAGTTTATTAACTAAAACAATTTAAGCTTAAAAAAATATTTGATTTGTGTTCAAGTAACTCAATAACTTATTGTTAAGATAACTTGGGTAAATAAAGTTAACAGTACTAATTCCATTCAATTAATATAACTTAAATCTATGAAGTACACTGTAAACCCAAATAAGTTGGCAGAACTCAAAATACTTTTATTAGTATAAACTTAGTTAGCTTTAAAAACCTAATCTGCTAACATAGTAAATGCTAACATATTGAGATATATCCAGCTGCAGACCCGCAGCACCACCAGTTTCAGAACCCCAGTGCCAGAACCCCAGCGCCAGAACCGGAAGTGAGGGAGGGGCGGAATTATTTACAATGACACATTTTTGCAAGTAGGCCTATTTAAAAATATTTAAAATGGTTGCACCTTTTAAATAATATTTAGGGTATGTTTTTATTACACAGTGAGTCACTGCTCGTTGTATGAACTATAACTGGTATGTGACAAATAAAGAGCAAGACAGCGCTCGTGTTGTTCGAAGACGTCAGAGTGCGCGCGCGCGGCCAGGGCTCTCTCTCTGCTCGTTAAGCGCCCTGTCACGCGCAGCAGTCATTCTATTCTACATCACTCACCGATCAAAATAGGCTTTGGCGGGACAAAAATTTGCTTTGGCGGGACAAAAATTTGCTTTGGCGGCCGCCAAAAAGCGGATGATCTGACGGGTTTTAGAATACAACCTGAAACTAAAAAACAGACCCGACCTCTATTTGAGGCCGGCCTTATATTTACCCAGACCTGCAGCCACACCAGGCATGTAAAGAGACAATCGTCTATTTGGGACTCGGCTATTATTTGAAGTACGGTACATTTTTATTGTTTCTTTTAAAACAATGCCGGATTTTCTCTCTCTTTTTAGATTTTTGACATTATTTTACATAAAGAAAAATGCATGCTGCACATGTTCTTGTGAAATAAAGTATATTTTATATAAAATGACCATAAGTTTCAAGCATTATTTTTCACCATCATGATCAGGAAGTAACTCTCATAATACAATGAAACGGATAACTATATAGAATTATATTACACAAAATCAACGTTTTAAAATGCTTATTGTACTATACCTTAATGTATCATTATAATATGTATAAAGTATGACGCTTCATGTGTAATAATTCCGTTTCGTGTCTAAGCAAACTACGCTCCAAAACGTTAGGTGGCGTTACTCGGTTTAGAACGTAAGCTCGGCCCCTCACTTCCGGTCCTGGCGCTGGTGTTAGAACGTAAGCTCCGCCCATTACTTCCGGTTCTGGCGCTGGGGTTCTGAAAGTGGTGGTGCTGCGGGTCTGCAGCTGTATACTATTGAACATATTAGCAATAGTATGTTATACAGAAACACTTGCTGTATGAGCACAGCAATATGGATTATTTGCTCTCAAATCAAGCTGAATGCACCACTTGTCACCATGATGGTAACTATCCTAAAGCCAACATTAACAGAAATTCTTCTAAATTAGCATAACAAAACATGAATCACTACTAAATCTCACACATAACATTAATCTTACACACAAAAAAACATTATATTACACTTAATTTTAGCATTTACTCTCCCTTTCGAGTGCCATCGGCAAAGCATGCTGGGAAATAGACATCCCAGCTGTTTCAGTTAAACTTAAGTTCGTCTAAATTAAAATAAATAATTTCATAAAACTCAAAACAATGAAACAGTTCAGTTTACTTCAAATATATCAGTTCTGTGAACTTGAAAGAAAAAGAAAGTGCTAAGCTAAATACTCATAAAAGTTAATTTGACTGAACTAATTTGTTTAATTTAAGTTTGTCCTACTCAAACCAATTAATTATTTTGAGCATTAGGGTTTACAGTGGGAATTGGTAAACATATTAAACTAGCCTTAGTACTAAAAGTAAATATACTGTATATTTAAGCCCTAAAGTCAAAGTGAGGAAAATGTTAGGAATAGGATCATAGTTGCAGTGTCCTCTTCAGTGCTGAACCAAGTCGTCACAATGTAAAAAAGTGATTAAGGCTGAAATCAAAATTGGTTTTTTGAACACCCACATGGGGCCCTTGAGAATCCAGCGTCATCAGCCTTTATTTATGTTCCAGTCTAAAATGTGTGCAAGAGCTTGCTGTGAAGGGTCCTTCCCTATAACCTTTACAAGAGTGCAGCCACTGGACACTTTCCACTAGACCTTGAAACACTTCTATATAATTCACCTCACAGGCTAAGCACTTGAAATAAAATATGCTTGCACAAAATAATGAAGCAATAAAATAAGTTTACATAATAATAAATAATAAACTCTCTAATGTCGTCTGCATTTTGGTTGTAGCCTATACAGCAAAATTTCCTGTGCCTCTTTCTTCAGAGTTATCCTTTAAAGGGGGTTTTCCCCAAATAGGGGATGACTATGAAATCATTGTGCCTTTAAATAAACGACGTTTTACAGCACCCATTTCACATTTATCAAAAACCCTCTCTCGTTCTCTTCCCTAATCCATATATTTGCATATCCTGTTGTTGTAAAACCAGAAACTCACTCGATGTTTAACGAGGTAAGACGAAGGCGGTTCCACAAGTATTCCAGCTGAAACAATATTTAAACAAAAAAACAGGCAAAGGACAGACAAACAGTACGCTCTCACTCACAATCACACACACGCATACACACACTCACCGATGATGTCATTGCGCACTCTAGTGGCAATATGGCATCACTACAACATCATTCTTCAATAAAAATCTTCATAGTATTAGCATAATTTGTAGGGGAGACTCACACAAAGTCAGACTTCGTACTTCTTTTTTTTTATAGTCAATTTATAGTCTTTTTATTAATTGAATTGCTATTGCTTTTTATTTCATTTTTATTAATTATATATATATATATATATATATTTTATCTTAAAAATGTCTATTGCTTGGTTAAAAAAACAACAACAGTTAGACAATTATGCAACCCAAAACTAGTCAGTATTTAACAAATTATGTAAATTAAAATGACATATAGTAACTGCATTCTTTAAACAGGTGAGTCTTGTCTGAATGTATGCCAGGCTTTATTGTGCTATAGCAATATTCCAGATATTAGCTTTTTATTTATGTGAGATAATCAATCAAATACTCTAGTTGTGTAAATCTGTCTGGTTGGAAACTCTTGCATCAGTTATTTATAATCAGAGCAAAATCTCAAAAAAATGCTCAAGAGTCAATTAAATCTCATTTATTGAAATATAAATCTTTTGAATGTACATGGTCATAATGCATATTATAGCAAAGGAATAACATCTGTTAAAGGGAATAACTACCTAACATTAACATTGTACCATAGAATGTACTTCATCCCTCTCCTTTGTTTCCCCTCTTCCTGCACAAGAACATTCACTCTACTGTCTCTTTAGGAATCAGTTACCTTCCTTTTTCAGCATAGACACATTTTCAACGTCTACTCACACTCACACACACAAAAAGCAGAATAATGAAATGCTATAACATATTCAAAAGAAGAGTTTAAAAAGTGCAACAGTTTTTTTTATACATGTATATCTCTCCTCCTGACGTGCCACAGTAGAGGGAGAAGATGGGGGCAGGCAGTGATATGCTGAAGTCCTGTTATACAATGATACACACTTACAACAAACAGTGATGTATAACATCAAAGTAAAGAAAATTTAAACGACGTGTCTCTAAGATGCTTCAAGACTACAGGATTTGGCTATGTGATTTTATCTACACTGTGATTTTTTTAATCGCTCTTGGGGGGGGGGGGGGGGGGGGGATTTGTGAAGACACAAGACTAGCACTTCTGGCAGGGCATGATTATCTATATTTCCATTTGGTTGAATGCTCATAAAATCCACTTGACAGGTACAACTTGGAGCAGAATCAGAGAAAACTGAAAAAGGTACAGACTTTCAAACATAAGCAAGTGATTTCACTGATTCACAGAGTCTTTCCTCATGACTATACTGCAATACAAGCTTCAAAGGCTAGGTAAAAGTCCAAAAAGATGCCGTGAAACTCTTTGAGATAAGCCATTTCATTTGGATCATCTTTTTTAAAAGATTAGCTTTGAATATCAGTAATGCCTCAGACTAACATAATAGTTACAAAATCAGAAAATTCTTTGCTTCAGTTTGGTAAAAACTTTGGCCACACATAAAGATGTTATGAATAGTGACATATCAGCAACTTATAAAGGTTGAAGTTACAAAAATACAATGCGACTCACAGGTCAAAACACAGTTGCCATTTTCTTCATGTAGGACTACACAATTTCCAAACCCAGTATTCACAAATAATATATCCCTTCTATCCAAATAGTACAAAAATAAAATTCAAACTGCCACACTTATTGAGACATTGACGATATATGATCAGTTACATTAAACCTATATGTCTTACAAGGTTTGTGCTGTTTAGTTGGTTTACTGCTCCTCAAATTACATAAGGTTCTGTAAAAATGTTGAAGTGAGAGGAAAAAAACAAAACAGGCCTGATTCAAAATAGTTGAAGGTTGACTCAGTTATGCTGGTTTAAGTGTTTATAGTGGTTTTTTAGTAGTTCAGATGGATTCATCTGAAAGGTAGCAGTTGTGAAACCACTCAGGTCACTGAAATGCTTTTAAATGACATGCTTATATTGCTGATCGGAATGCCCTTCAAAATACAGATCATATAATTCACTGACACACACGAACACACACATTACAAACATACAGAAATGATATACAGAAACAAATATCTTCTCCACTTCCCCAACTCATTGGTCTTAGCTCCATTAGTGTCACTTAACCACTTACTGAGCCTCATCAAGAGCGCTCATAAAGTCCTGTGGTGCACAGCTCATTCCTCCAGACCTGTAGAGGGCGATGTCTAATCCAAAAACATCAATGACATTCACGCATCAAAGTTTTTTTTCTTCTTCTGAAGGCTCCAATAGAGTGTAGTGAGGAAAATATGATTGAAGGATGCAGGGAGAGATCCATGAACTTGTAATGAATCAGAGTAAAATTTGTCTGTAGATGTCTTTCTCTCTCTCTTTGCATCTTTCTCTTACAGGAAACTGTCCTCCACCAGGTCTCCTGAGTCTAAGCACATCTCGTCCAGCAAGGTGATGTCCTCCAGGGTCTCTCCTTCACGCTTGGTCATGGAGCTGCTAGAGCCTGTCTCTATTGCGCTTTCATCCGACGTCTGAGAGCTACAGAGAAGAAGAGAGGCCAGTTCAGTCATTCATATTGTACCGAGTAATGGAAAGTTTTTAAATATGTCATAAGTATGAAATGCTCAAAAAAAGAAAAGAAAAAAGTAGGGATGCACCGATATGAAAATGTTGGCCGATGTCGTTAACTGATAATTCTTTAAATTTGAAAGCCGATAACCGATATATTGGCCGATAAATGTAAATCCAAATGTTTATATAATTTTTGAGAGCTTGATTAAACAAAAGTCTCACCATTAAAAGCCATGTCCCAAGCACTTCAACATAAATCAAACTAGTCTGAACCAGTGTATATTTTAAAATGAATCCTATGGCCAACTTTCCTTCCCAAAAAAAAAAACAAGAAATTCCAATCATATTCAAGCAATTCAAAACCATCATGGCGAACAGTGTGCATCTGAAGTGTCCCAGCTGAAGGAAATAATATTTTTTTTTATTGGCTTTAAGATATCGGCCAAATATTCTCATCGGACCGATAACGATAACATTAAAAATTAACATATTTCGGTGGCCAATATAACATATGGTGGCCAATATATCATGCAAAAAAAAAAAAAAAAATGCTATGAGATTGTCTAAATAGCAAAACATTTTATAAATTGTGTCACGTGAACCTTCAGAAATCATTCTAATATGCTGATTTGGTGCTCAAAAAATATTTCTTATTATTATCAATGTTGAAAACAGTTGTGCTGCTTAATATTATTTTGGAAATGGTGATACATTTTTTTCCAGGTATTTTTTTTTGAGAAATAGAAAGTTCAAAAGAACAGCATTTATGTTAAATAGAGATCTTTTGTAACATTGAATTAATTTTGGACATACACAACAGTTCAAATGTTTGGGGTCAGTAAGATTTTTTTTTTTTTTTTTAAGAAATTAATACTTTTATTCACTAAGGATGCATTAAATTGATCAAAAGTGCAATTTAATGCATCGTTGGTGAATAAAAGTATTAATTTCTTTGGGGAAAAAAATCTTACTGACCCCCAACTTTTGAACTGTTGTGTGTGTCCAAAATCTTAAGAATCATCATTCTAACCTAATACCCCAATGTGAGAATATAATGTAATTTGTGGGCTACCTGTGGCGGTTCCTCTTGCTGTAGTCTTCATTTGACAGTGGGTCGAGGTCCGGCAGAGGAATGATGTAACCGCTGTCAGAGCTGAGTCTTTGTTCATCAAAGCCGCTCTCGCGGTCCTTTAGTTTGCCCTGGTTCTTGTAGAGCACGCCCATGTACGCATCATCATTGTCAATACACTGCACCCGAGTCACAGCGGGGTGATCGCTCTTCAGGAAGTCATGATTCACGCGTTCATAACACTTCACACCAAGAAAAGTTATAAATAACATTTGAATATGTAAAAAATCATATTAAAATTATGTAACATAAAAAAATTATACAAATAAAACATAAAAGTACAACTGAAAGAGTATTACAGCGATAACAAGTAGAAAAACGAGTTTATTGAATAGGATTTATGTGACATGAATATTGTAGTTAATCTCAAATTAAGCTTGCCCTTCTCTCTTATAATGCGTCGTACTGAAAATAAGGAAATGAGGGAGAAATTGAATCATTTCTGGTTGTTGTAAATAGCACTTCAACGCCACCATAAACACTGCTCAACCCCGAAGTTCTGCCCCATTTCTGCAAGCGTTCTGTGGTTACTTGAGGGCTTACAGGCCAATTTACGAACCGCATTTCCCACCACACCCCTGCCCAAGGTGCTATAACAGGAGCTAGTTATTCCCTGGGCCATGTGACTCTGGGAAGCAGAGTTTTGAAGTACCACGTGTGGTGTCTGTTTAATAGAGCAATTATGGCTAGCTGGCGGACGCTAACTGTATGCTCCTGGTCATTAGCACTGCTGGGTTTCGCCTTGCTGGGGCGTTAACCAGCTGGAGCGCTGGTGTGCTAATCTCTGTTAGCGGTCTGGCAGTTTTGCCAATGATGACATAGACATAGCCAAGGCCTCAAAGCCCAGATTGACACACCACTGCATTTAAGCTACAGGAAGTGGGAAGCCATTTCCACCATACTTTTATCTGGGCCATTTATTAGGGGATGGTGGGACATATTATTATAGTTTTTTTTTAAATCCTATATTATAGTTTTCAATTTTAGTTTAGTTTTAGATAGTTGAATGGAGCATAAATACAGTAGATAGCATTTATTTCATTATTTATTTTTCGTTTGGAAATGACTATTGTAAATTGCTATTTAATTTAGTTTCAGGGTAGATTTCATCCCTTATAACATTATTAATTAGTGTAGTGTCGTCAATGTTAGATTAACTCTATCCTAAACATCTCATATAGAAGGCTATGTTTGTTATTTTTTGTATATATCAATCAGATACCCCCTTCTTGTCTTATTTGGTGGTTCTTTTTAGCAAAACACATGGTTCAGATGTCTTGGAAGAGATTAATTACAACATAAGATATTTATTTTTATTTGATCCATTTTTGTTCATATTTGTTCTTTTTTTTCAAAATCATTGTTATTTTAGTTAAGAATAAATATATATATATATTTAAAATAAAAATATATATTAAAAAATTCAATTATATTATAATAATAGCACAACTATTTTAGTTAGAGAAATAATTAAATAGTTTAAGTAAATGACTGAGAAATATTCTCTCCTAGAAATGATTTCTTCCCAAATAAAACTGAGACCATTTGAGAGTGATAAATCTCCATCTAGTGTCCATGTTGCAGGCTTACCCTCTTATATCCTGAGGGCAGCAGAGAGGTCACCGTATCACTCAGGCTGTGGAAAGACGGTCTCTTCTCTGGTTCACTGTTCCAACACTTCATCATAAGCTCATAGCTGCACATAGACAAACAACAGCACATTGGTCAGATATCTGTGGCAACCGCAGCCAAGCACAGCAAAGCAGTCACGCAAACTTCGAGATGGAACGTACACTTCACTGGAAGCATGCTCGGGTTTCGCCATTCGGTATCCACTCTTGATCTTGTTGTAGAAGCTGGAATCCACAACCATACCTGGATAAGGCGTCCCTCCTGCAGAAACGACAAAAACACATTATATACTGTGCATTTGTCATTTGTAAAATTTGTAAATAAATGCTAAAAAAAAATCTATGGTCACATTAATCATACCAAGAGAGAAGATCTCCCATAATAAGATGCCATAAGACCAGACGTCACTGAGTGTAGTGTACAGGTTATCAAAAATACTCTCAGGGGCCATCCACTTCACTGGAAGAAAAGTCTGTGTGTGAGAGACAAAAATACGAAATATTAGAGGACGATTGTTCCAGCTCTCTTTGCCAAAATAGGGCAATGTGAAAATATCCATAATCTAAGATGATTAATCAATAACACCATATTAGGACCAAGACATCCACTCACACTTCCTTTGGAGACATAGTTGTTATCGTGCATGATGTCTCTGGCCAGCCCAAAGTCACAGATCTTCACTATCTTGCCTTGAGACAGCAGGACATTACGTGCAGCCAAGTCTCTGTGTACACACTGTGAAACAGGGACAAATAGAAGTAAACAAGAGAGTGTGTTTGGTACAGAGAGATTCAGTTCAGTTTTAGTGGGTTGTATTATATAGAATTTTCTTTTCTTTTCTCCATTCCATGTAACACAGTATTTTACACATTTGTCATGTACCCTTTCAGCCCCATCAAAAGGCTCAAAAATACCTTATATACTATACTGATATTATATTCTATATAATTTAGCATTATGTTAAGACATTTTTAAACCACAAAAGGATAAAGAGACTCACCAAGGAGCACATACATACACAGTCCCACACAAATATTATTTATACAAATTTTTTTTTAAATGGCACACATTATATTCTTTCTTTGAAAATGATTTATCAGGATGTCTTTTAATTATAAGCAGTTTTATAAATCGGTTTTATTTGAACTATTATTTTATTTAACAGTCCTAATATTTTCTAAGTTTAACAAAGAAATATATAGTTATTAGGGCTGTAACGATTCCCTCATGTCACGATTCGATACATATCACGATACTGAACTCACGATACGATATTATTGCGATACTCCAAGACATATGGTAAAAGGTTAACAAAAAATGTACTGTAAATTAAAATGCTAAATTTGATATTACATTGTGTGTTTAAATGAACAGGATGGACTTGGTGCTTGTAACCCAAGGACAATGGTGACACCAGATTAAATATTCATGATTCTGAAGCTGAAAATACTGAATTATTTTAGATGAATATGTTTGCACTCTTTCACTGACTAGATATATTTTAAATAATGTAGGCCACTTTTTACTGTTCATCAGACATCAGACATTTGGCATTATCAGGACACAAATATTCCCCCATTGCATTATTATACATTATAATCAATATTATAGTAGTTTATTGTAGTACTGACACTAAAACTCTGAAAACTTGAATTTTTTCTCACACAGTAATTTTTATTTTGGGGGGACTATCCACGATACATATTGTCACTATCCACGATATACGTACTGTTGCATTTTTGTATTGCGATATATTGTGGCACAATATATTGCAGACCGTTCTCATCCCAAGGCGTCAAATACTGACGCTTTTGCCAAAGCGTCTATATCCAACGCACATGGCACCCTTTAGCGTCAATATGAGACGCAGATATATGGCGCCTCCTAGTGGTCTAACCCTAACACTACCCCAGACCTAAACCTACCCGTTTATATTGACGCTAAAGGGTGCCATGTGCGTCGGATGTAGACGCTTTGGCAAAAGCGCCAGTATATGATGCCTTGGGATGAGAATGCGTTGTATATTGTTACACCCCTAATAGTTACCTAAGATTCCTCTAGAATATTCTTAAGCAACCCCTTTCCTAACCTAACTCCTTTCCTCAACTCTCTCCCTCACTCTCTGTCTTTCTTCAAGGGTGGTCTAGAAAGTCCACCTGTGTGAGATGAGATTTAGTAAACCCTCTGTTGCCGAATTTTAAACAAGAGGTCTAATTAATAGTTGCTACAACATAACATGAAATGATAGCAGCATCGTTTTTACTGAGAGGTTTCAGTTTACCAGGGAAGTTCTGCAAACCCTCAATCCTACGTATTTTAACTATACAGCCACAGTGCATACAAGCAACCATTTTCTCAAAAATAGAAACCTGCCATCAAGTCACCTCCTCCGCAAAAACATCCAGAATCACTATAATGTTACGTCTCAATGTTATGTCTAAACTGCATAAGCAAGATCAAATGTGTTTTGAAGCAAATGTTTACAGACTAAACTGACAGAGGCAGTTATCCTGCAAAAACAGGATTTAACTTACGTTCTTAGAGGCCAAGAACTCCATCCCTCGAGCCACCTGATAGGTGAAACTGAGGAGGTCCACTGTCGTCAGGCCTTCATTGGTGTCATCTGAGAGAAGGTTCTCAACTTCACCGTCTGTTATTCACACAAACATTTTAAATTAGAACTGTATGCTCAAATTGATTTTGTGTGTGTGTAAAGTCTGAGGAATGGCAGGCAGATGGATGCATTAAGACGTTTGCGCTACAATTAGCATCTGTAATTGCAGGGTGCACGGACTGTAGTGACATGGGTGGACCTCTCTCCTATCACTAGCTAAACATCGGTGTATATGTGTGTGTGTGTGTGTGTTTCCTACAACAACCAGCCAAGCCAAACCACACCACAGCATGCCAAACCAACTGGAGTACGTGCAGTAAACGAGGGATAGACAGAAAAATAAAGTGCCAAAAGAAAAAAAAAATTCAGAAGGATTAAGAATGAGAAAACAGAACAGGAAAAGGAAAGAGGTGGAGATGTGATTTATACTTAAAGGCATAGTTCAACCAAAAATAAATACTCTGTCATTATTTATTCACCCTCATGTTGTTCCAAACCTGTATGACATTCTTTTTTCCATACAACACACAGAGAGAAAATGGTTTTTCATGCTCTTTTCAATGCAATTTCAATGAATTAGAGCTTTCAAACTTTTAAAGTTTTTAAAGTCATACAATAGCTTTGTAAATTTGTCTGTAGTCTAAAATTGAAGATTTTTTTCCACTGTTAATATTGACATGTGCTTTAGCTCTGCTTGGTAAGACTTAATGATTCGGGAATAACCATTTATGGAGTAAGATCTTTTCAGTGAATCAGTTGATCGGACTAATCCAGTTCCTCACACAAAGCTCGGATATTGCAATAGTCATTCATACGTATACAGTATGAACAAATAGCTAGTGCAATATCACACAAGTCAGTCTTTATGATACTTCTATGGTCATTCTGAATAGACACATAACTAACATATATTTAGAAAGCCAGCACTTAAGAGTTTACAGTTCAAGACTCAGAATTACTCAGACTGTTATTAATATGGAGATATATAAGATCAAACATAAACATAATAACAAATATTAAGAATATATATTTTAAATGTATAAAACTATTATGTGGAAAAATCCCAATTAAAGTGAAGCCACAAATCTGAGGATTATATCTCTAAAACTATGGATTTTATGAAGCATTTTCTAAGACCATGTCATGTGAGTTTTTAGAGAAGGCTGATAATATGTTAATAAAATATTTTATTGCCCTGTAAACATCTACTTACAGTCTATTTTCTATTGCCTGGCAAGGAGAACTGCGCCATTCATGTTCTATTGTTTTCCCTCGGCAAAGCTTCCACACCTCTGAGGGTATGAGACTTAATCTTCATTATTCTTTTATCATATTCTTTTGTTTGTATTCAGCCATTATTAGCTTTTATTCTGGAATTACATGGCTTGCCTTGTAAGCTTGAAAGCTTCAGTTCTCATTCATTGTTCTTGGATGAGGGAAAAAACAGAGTCTTTAAAATATCTGCTTTTGTGTTCCACAGAGGAATGAAAGTCATGAGAGTGAGGGTTAGTAAATTATGACCGAATATAATTTTTTTGGGTGAACTATTCCTTTAAAAGAGTTCTCTTACCAATTAACTGTCTGTAAGTGGGAGGATGGTCATAGTCTGATCTCTGGATGGGAGAGTATTTTGAAGCTTCACTCATTTCCAGCATGGGGACATATTGCATGGTGTCTGCTTGCTTCATGTCCATATAATCACCTTTCCCCTCAAAAGACAGGATGACGTAGCTGCACACACACATAAATACAGAAATAATAAGTTTGGGGAGAACATAATGCTGTGTAAGGTTACTCTAGCCAAATGAAAACACTCACACGATCTGTATAGTTGGCCATGCTAATGAATGATTAGATCATCTTATAGCAGAACAATCTGATGTGTAATATAAGTGAATGTGCCGAGATTAGATCACCAATCTTCTCACTGTGGGTTACAACATACGGCCAGTAACCACCAGTTTTCTTTTAAAGGTGACAAACTTCACTTTTGTTTTGTTCCAAAACCTTGTGAGCATAATGCTGCCTCCAAAGATACCTAATTTTTGACAAATTAAGGCAGCACTGCATATATTCTGCTCATGGCAGTGTTGTTATTGTTAACTATTAAAAATATTTTTCATTTGAATTATTTTCAATTTTCATTAATTCATTTTAATTAATTAATTAAAAAGCTATAATACAATATAAATATTTTATAAAAACGGTAAACTTAAAAAAACTTAAGTTAAGTTAAATAGGCAAATGCTTAAGAGTCAATGATTGGGTCATTATTGCAGTGACTATTATGTTTCTATGTTTGCCAACAGTTCCTCTAACCCTAATTGAAGTCTATAGCTTTTTATTTCTTAAACAACCATGTATAAGGACACATCAAAGCAATATTCCAGGATGACAATGTCAAGATTCATCAGGCTCAACATGGGAAAGAATGGTTGGGAGGGGGCATGAAGAATAATTTTCACACATGAATTAGCACCTCTGAGACTTAAATTCCTTGAAAGTCTTTGGGATGTGCTGGAGTAGACTTTACAGAGTGCTTGACTTGCATTGTCAATACAAGATCTTGACCAAAAATGTATGCACTTCTTCAATAGGTGTCTGCTGTATATCTGTGTTTTATTCAACTACAGCGATCGCTGGACGTCTTTGTCTATATTAGGGATTTCCTGGAACTTATTACTCATGAGTCTTTCAGTCCTCCGGCGTTGAGTATGAATGAAACATAAATTACATGTGAGAGTTTAGCGCTCCATAATGCTCACGTCGTCCTATTTTGGGTAAAATAGAAGAAGAAGAAAAAAGACTGCTGTCTAAAGATATTTTAAGTAAACATAATAATCCATACGTTTTTATCCGAATGAGCTCAATTTTGGACTAAAATTCCAGAGGGATGTAAAAAACACAGAAAGGTGTCAGCAGTTAACAGGTTAATGTAACATTTCTGATAAACGAGTCATTTTTGCGGAATCCAAAACTCTACCATACTGGCGAGTGACATGCTATGCTACATGCTACATCCAATGACATGCTTTTACGTGGCAGCAGCACCTGCGCACTGTGCTTGCGTTTTATCATGACAGGTGGCAACCAGCGTTAAGGTCCAATACAGCCACCTACTGTACGTTGGGATGTTAACCAGAGACTGGCTCTGGATAATTGATGTGCCATATTATCATACGTGTGCTATTAGGGCTGGGAATCGCTGGGTACTTCACGATACGATACGATATGCGATACATTGTTCACGATACCGATAATACCACGATATGGCGATACTGCGATAATCGACATATTATCAGTAATAACTCACAATATATCATGTTTTAAGAAATACAATTTTTTTTAAATTAGGAAAATTAATCTCCATTTATTTTTTGGGATGAAACACAATAACAAAAACAACTTGTGTCTTATCAGTTGCAACAAAACAGTCACAGACACTATTTTAGTGTAACATTGCTGCAATCAGTAGTAATAAAAATGTTTACGCCGGGGTGTGTCGGCTTCGAGCCAGCACCAACCACGGCTTTCTCACAGAGCTCCGGGTGATGCCGCGTGAGGTGTCTGTACATGTGGTCGTGTTTCCCGTTTTGCGGACTTTTGCAAAGCCAGACATCCCAAGTCTCCCGGAAGTTCCGGGAGTCTCCCGCATAATGATAGCGTCTCCCTGATGCCCGCAAATTAGTTCAAATCTCCCGGAATCTAGAGCGCGCATGCGAGACAGAACAGCCTACTGCGCGCATAACATACATAGCACGGCAGAGAGGGAGAGAGCGAGAGACTTTGCGTGTGTGCCTCATGAAAGCTAGTCAAATCCAGTCAACTCGGATAATGAATAGAGCGTTTTATAACGGCTTTTAAGATCGATACTTGGCAAGAGCGCATCGAGAATCGATCGCGGGAGTAAATATCGTGAGATATCGCCATATCGATATTTTGGCGCACCCCTATGTGCTATTCATTTGAAATAGTAGCCTACGGTTATCGCCAAAACCTGTATATTGCGACACCCCTAATTAACAAGATAAAGATATTTCTTTTTTTTTTTATATCACGGTTATCGTCAATACCGGTATATCACGACACCCCTACTCTCTACCTCTTTACTTGTCTTTTATCTCTCTCCTCTCATAAATGTCTTCACTTACCCAATTAGACTGCAATCCTGACACCCCTAATCTTCAATCAGATTAAAGAGCTAAATAAAAACAATTCCTAACTTCACATTTTAACCTAAAAAATATTTTTTTATTATGCAGCAAATCACATCTTTTGTGTGGGTATGCGTGTTGGCTAACCTCCTACTGCTCTCATCGGCTGGGTTGATGCCAAAGATGTCTAGATCTTTCTTGCCCTTTTCTGTGTGGCGGCTGAGAAAACCATCTCTGTTCTTATGCAGGTAATTCACCAGGTCTCCATAGAAACAATACTCTGTGATGATGTAGATTGGTCCTGAAAAGAGAAATGGACAAAAAGAAAGAGAAAGATTGAGAGCAGTGTTAATAAAACTGGTCTAATATTATCAGAGACTTGTAAAATGTCTAAAAGCAGGAGGTTAAAGTTCTACAGTCCATTGCACTTAACTCGGCCTGTTAAAACGCCACACAATAAAAACCCACAAACCAAGAAGACACCACCCTAGAGACTGTCTGTTTATCTTTGTTATCTGTGTGTTTGTGCATTTTCACCTGATTTGGTGCACGCTCCCAGAAGATTGACGATGTTTAGGTGAGGGCCCAGGTGGGTCATAATTTTCAGCTCTGACATCAAAGCCTGTTTCTCACTGGAGCGTGCTGTTGCTGAGGAAGCAATCATATCACCAATTATTTTACCATATTGCCAACAAAAATGAGCTTTTAATATTATTAATCATCATAATTCATAAATGAGATATTGCTGTGTTTATCATCCTGCTTGTAAAAAAATACTCTCCCAGCAGACATTTTATATGCAAATCAGAACTACTAGTCAAACTTCAATTAACTTACGTTTAAGCATTTTTACAGCCACTTTCATCACAGGTTGAGAACGACTGAGTCCGTAAGCAGTGCCCTCCACCACTTTCCCAAACGCTCCTGAGCCCAGGACACGACCTGCAACACACACACACGCACGCACACTTTTAACTCATTTGCATAATGGATGCCACAGAAGCATTATCTAGTGTAAGAGAGCATGCGAACACAAAGCGCTTTTTGTAACTTTCAGTATTACCACAGTGGTTTCCTGTGCAAGACCATTTTGGATGTTTGAGTCAAAAACCTCAATCAGTCTGCACAGTCACCACACAAATCACCTAAATAGAATCTGTGCAGTAGATTGTGATGTCAGATTACAAAACCACAATACCATCAAGCACACGACCACAAAAAAAATGTCCCTTAAAGATGGCTGAACCACACTGAATCCACAAGACAAGATCATGGTGGACTGATTCACAACAACCGTGACTCACCCAGAACAAGGCTATCTCGAGAGAACTCCCAGCGGGAATCATATGGAAGCTGCATGGGATCGACATAGATGTATTCGTGACCGTCCGGACTGACCGATTCAATCACACGCCATCTGATCTCATAACGTGGTTTCTGTAACACAGGTGCAGAAGGAGAGAGTGATTCGCATGTGGTCAGGAACAGAGCTTACAGATACTGGAGGACAGTCAGGTTGAGAGGTGAGAAGTGTCATTCACACACAAACAATGTGACATATGTTCAATTTACAATCTCATTTCAGCCCTCACAGAAGCTAACATGACTGTGTTGATGCATTATGTCTATTCATACCTCAAATGTGGATGAGTGACTACAAGAATGAATGTAAGAGAGTGGGGATTTGTGAATGTGTGCATCAGTGGGTAAATATTTGAATAGGTATGTTAGTGGATGAATGTGTGAGTGATTAAATAAAGGGACTGAGTGAATGAGCAAATAGGTACATTACCGTTCCAAAAGTTTGGGGTCAGTAAGAATTTTTATGTTTTTGCTCTTATGCTCACCAGTGGCACATTGATTTGATCAAAAATACAGTAAAACCGTAATATTGTGAAACATTATTACAATCTTTTCTAATTTAATCTACATTAGAAAGTAATTTATTCCTGTGATAGCAGTTGTGCTGCTTAATATTTTTGTATAAACCGTAATACATTTTTGTTCAGGATTCTTTGATGGATAGAAAGTTCAAAAGAACAGTCTTTATTTGAAACATAAATCTTTTTTAACATAATGAATGTCTTTACAGTCACTTTTTATCAATGTAATGCATCCTTGCGGAATAAAAGTGAATTTCTTAAAAAGATTTTTACAGACACCAAACTATTGATTGGTAGTGTAAATATGAATGAATGAATAAGCATTTAAAAGGGTGAGTGAGTGAGTGAGTGAGTGAGTGAGTGAATGGTTGAGTCAATGGGGTCAAAATAAACGTGCGAGAGCGTGTTATAGGCTATATGTCATGTTATAGTCAGATTTGACGATGCTACTGCAACACAGATCACCTCAGATGAGTGTCTATTCATCAAGCCAACGCGCCGCAAACTAACGCAAATCAAAGTGAAAGTAAGTCGCAGACGCTTAACACACAATCATCTTCGTTAAAAGTAAAGAAACGAAATGATCTTACCAGTTCTGTTAACGCTCTCATATTGCTGTCTTTGATTTTGAAATTAGCTGATGATCAATAAAATGCAGCTCATATCTGTTGCTTTCGGTGACGTGCACTCCATTAAATCTGCATATAGCGCGGGAATTGAAGATCGGATTTATATCCGTTTTATGTGACCAGGTGTAAATGGAATCGTTTTGATAAATCAGATAGCTATCCGATATGAGAAAACGCATGAAGTGGCCAGGTGTAAACAGCCCCAATGAGTCAGTGTAAGTAAATGAGTAAATGGGCAAGTGATTGAGTAAATAAATGAGTGAGTGAATGAGTCAATGTGAATGAGTGAGTACCTGTTTCCAGATAATGACCAGCACAATGAGTGAGATGACGACAATGACCAGCAGCACCAGAACAGCAGCAGCCACAGTGAGCTCTGAGTGCGGACCTGAACACACCAGCAGCAATGAGGAAGTGGAGGGTGGAATTATGAAAGGATATGGTACAAAATTGATCTATGAAAACTGCCAAAACAAAACTAGCCTTTCCTTGAGCTAAAGCTAAAATAACGTAACTAATAATGTCATCATACAAGTATAAATATTTTGAACTGCATCACTTTTGTATGCTCTGTTAATCAAGGTGCCCAGTGTGAGCCATTCATTTAAGCTGTAACTTAGTGAAGCGAAACCCCTGCCAACAGAAACTAGTGTAAACACATATGGATTTGTTTCTAAAAGCAGTGGACGGTCCACCTGAGAAATCTATCACAGGAAAATGACATGGGGAGCCTGACAAGACAGGCACGAAATGAGGCCAACAGATGTTAGGACTACTACAAGTAGCATTTGCTGAGTTTAAAGCACCATGATGAACAGATAATCACACACAAACAGAGATGTTTCCTTACAATGAATGAAATTTCAACAAACAAAACGTATCCTCAGTGCAAATCTACTCCCAGGAATTCATCCCTAAATAAACTGTACACCTGTGATTCAAATTAGTTTCAAATCAGCTTGAAACTTTGTTTACCCTATGAATGCATGACAAACAGTGACACTAAGAGATTTATAGCACTTCAGATGAATGGATTGGTTTAAAAAATCAACTTTGTGGCTGTTCAAATAAAAAAAGCAGTCTCTGTAGAGACAAGAACAGGCCTCTTACCATTTGACACAAGTTTAACCTCCCGTGAAACAACACCCATGTCATTTCTGGCCATACAGCGCACAGCAATCGTGCTCTCAAGATGGTGGAAAATTATGTGACTCTCAATGTGGTTGTCCACATCCATTTGGAGTTCCACAGTGATGTCCGTAGAGTTGATCGGAAGCGGTATCCACTGGGAGGAATCGTTGGCACAGCTGGTGAAAGAAGGAAAAGTGAGGTCAGCATGTCATTATGGTGACTTAACTTTAAACTCTAGGGATGTGACTGTGTCACCAGTTTGGACTGCTTTTATAGAAGGAAAGAGTGAGAAATGATGGACAAATTAAGGAAGACAGAAATACCTGTATTCCAATACCTGTAGGGTAACAGAGCGAAACAAGAAGGAAGACTGCTTACTGTTTAATGTTTTTGCAGATATACCAGTCCACGTCAGGGACAGGGGAGCCGCCAACAGTACACACCACTTCCTGACCTGCAGCAGAGCCATGGTGGATGTCCATCAGGTCCACAATCACAGGGGGAACTGTAAGAGGAGACAGATTTTTACTTTCCTTGCCAACATTTTTACTGGCCCCACCATCATTTTTTTGGCAAAAACAAAAATAAATTCATACTTTTATTCAGCAAGGATATCAAAATAATCAGAAGTGACAGTAAAGACATTTATAACGTTACGGTAACACTTTACTTGAAGGGGTGTGCATAAGACTGACATGACACCTTCATAATCATGACATGACACATGTCATGAATATGAAGGAGATTTTATGCATGGTTATGACAACTGTCATTAAGTGTCATTCGCTCAATTATGACATTTTGAATGGAAATATGACATTGTTTGAGATGTCTTTGTTATGTCAACTTGACATAAACCAATACATCATAACCTGTCAGTGTCTTGGTAATGACAACTTGACATTACCAAGACAACATAAATTGTCATAAATATGTCATAAACATGACATAGCAGATTAATTATCAAACTTAAGAAACCACTTAGCTTTATGGGTTAACATTACATTAAACTGTCAGGTAGTTGGTTTTGACATTGGCTGTCATGAGGCCATTATAACATTTTAAAGACAAATTCAATTTGTACCACTGTAGTTGAGGTCAAGAAAAATATTCATGACACAGTTATAATGGCCAATGTCAAAACCAACCACATGACAGTTTAATGTGATGTTAACCCATAAAGCTAAGTGGTTTCTTAAGTTTGATAATTAGTCTGCTATGTCATGTTTATGAGAATTTATGTTGTCTTGGTAATGTCAAGTTGTCATTACCAAGACACTGACAGGTTATGATGTATTGGTTTATGTCAAGTTGACATAACAAAGACATCTCAAACAATATCATATTTCCATTCAAAATGTCATAATTGAGCGAATGACACTTAATGACAGTTGTCATAAACATGCATAAAATCTCCTTCATATTCATGACATGTGTCATGTCATGATTATGAAGGTGTCATGTCAGTCTTATGCACACCCCTTCAAGTAAAGTGTTACCCACTTGTATTAACTTTATTTAAACAATTATGCTGTGCAAAGAATTACTGATTTGTTTGATATTTCAGGAAACAGGTTTCATTAGTTTCCATTTAATAAATTGTGTATCCTTGAGCTTTATTTTTGAGCCTTGAATTGTGGTTAAATGTTTATTTAATACAAAGATCTCTTGATTTCATCGGTCAATTTCAAAAGCTAATTTTTAACATAATTAAGTACAATTAAATGTGGAAACTTGAGTAACATTTTTAAACATTACCCTTTACTTTAACATGGTGTAATTATTTTCAGTCATTTCTACACCTCTGTTTTGAACACATACAGAACATAAGAAATCCAGCACTTGTACTGTAAGTACATGTAGCTACAGATTGCTTGACAAAGATCCTCCAGTTGACAACAAGAAAAACAAAAGCAAATATATGTAAAGAGTGCTGAAGAAAGATATAGAGGGGCATCGAGATAAACCAACAAGCAGAGGCAAAAGCAAACACATGTAAATGTAGGAGTGACAGAAACAACCAGTAGGTACAGAAAAAAAGGTCCCACCTTTAACCTGAAGGTAGAAATTGTAGCTGGTAGTCAGGCTGCCTATTTCTGCCCTGATGGTATAGTTCCCACTGTCCTCTGCTTTAGCCCTGATCAGGGTCAACACACCCTGGTAACTGAACAAACCACACAACAGCTTTAAATCAATGCATTTCAAATATTTAAGCACAAATACAATTTATAAATACAGCAATTTTAGTCACTTGTACATACAGAAGATGTAAGCATGCTACAGTGCTCAGATGAGGTTGGTGAGGTGGAAGTGGAAGTTGTGGTCACCTGGTATCGCTGACTTCCAGGAGGATGGTGCTGATCTCTGCAGCAACGTCTCCCAGAACGGAACCGTCCTTTAACCATGTGACTTTAGGGGCGGGTAAAGACTCTATGTCCACCCTGAACTCTCGCACCTCGTCCAGCCTAGTAGTCTCCACTGGACCAATCAATGGATTTATGTGCACAAACTCATGATCTGTACATTAGGGCAAATTAGGAATGCAAATGAATCACTGTCACGTATGCATATGTGTGAATCAGCCTTACACATTGAAAATCATGTGTATTTTAAAGCGTGTGTCTGTGTGAGTGTATGTGTGATCTCTGTACCATAGACTGTAATAGTGAGCTGTTTGGTTTGGCTCTCGTTGCTGTTAATGTTAGTGATGGAGCAGGCGTAGACGCCGCTGTCTTTCGGTGAGGCATTAGTCACTCTCAGAGTATAATGGATCTCAAGATCTCGCTCACTCTCCTTCACGGTCTTTACTCCTCGATCCGCCTGAGAGAGAACGACAGAGGCAGAATATAAATGTAAGTACAAATATACTTATTTTGAAATTGTATTATTTTGTTTTATTTTATCTAGGTTAAACACGATTTGTGGGAAGGTGAAGTATATATATATATATTTTTTTTTTTATTATTATTATTTTGGAGCTGTTTATCTTACCAGTTTCCCAGGGTATTTCCAGTGATCCTCCAACATCATGCTACCTCTGGCCACACAGTCAACAGTGATTGTCTCACCCGCCAGCAGAGCCTCCTTCTCTGCTCGTAGCTCGACTCTCAAATCAGACCCTCCTGAGAAACAATATAATAAAGTCAAATTCAGTTAGTTTAATGCATGGCAGGGGAAGAAACTAAATTCATTGTCTCCTGAAAAAGCGCAGAAACATTTAACCAAAACTTGTACATACATACATATATATATATATATATATATATATATTTATATCCAATCATGACAACTCTGAATAGTTTAAGCATGTCATTGAATATGGCAATTTTAATGTATTTGGTCTCTGCAGAGTAGAAGCCTACTAGGACTAGATCTGCTACGCTGCTGCTGCTATTGATTATTGTTGCAAGTATGGACTTGCTACTGCTAAAAGATACATATACACACTACACACATATAAACAAAACCCTTAGAAAAATACAATTAAAATTTTCTTCTCAAGTAAAATCTTGTTTTGAAATGATTTGGATTAAGAATATGTCGATTTTTTTTAAACTGTAAATTAAACTGACCTGTCCAGCCGTGAACGATGTACTGTATGCTGTCATACTTCTGTCCTTTAATGAGGGCTCTGCAGACATACGTGCCAGCGCTGAAGAGGCCAACGAAACCTCTCTTGCTGTCATAGACACTGGGCAGAACCTGATTGGTCTCAATGTGAATCAGAGAGACGCTGGCGCCGGGGTCTGTCACACGGCAGGGAATCTCCATTTCATCATGACTCAACACATGGTTTTCAAAAGGTGTCATGGATGGTACAAACGGCGTTTGTGGATCTGTGTGCGTTGATGGATAAAAATGTTTGAAGGGAAGAAATTCGCCAGTACAAAAGGCTTCATACTAACATATTGTAAATCCTTTTTTTTAAAACAACTTCACTGCAACAATCCAGCTTGTACGATAAGAGGGGGAAAAAGACTAGCTACCTGGCACATAGATGTAGATGGTGGTCTCCTCAGTGTTGTTGCTGAAGTCATAGCTGCAGCTGTATTCTCCTGTGTGAGCAGCTGTCGCATTGCCAACAGTCACAGTAGAGATGAAGAGTCCTTTCTTTTCAGAGTCGGTCTGATCATGAAGATAAGGGCTGTTCCAAGTGAGCTCGGCCTGACCTCGACATGTGAGTCTGAAAGTTGAGTGGAGAGACACCTCCATGCTCTCCCTCTGGGGCCACATCACTGGAGCCAGCACTGACTGTGGCAGCTCAGGGTATATGGCTGTACAAAAAAAAAAAGTATTTGATTTTCTCATATACATCTCATGCATACCAATGCTTTAGATTTGGGTTTCTGAATCAATGCAGGCACTTCATTCATAGTTTGGTTGTTTTCTATAATCATACCTTCAACCAGCAGTTTGAATGAAAATCTTGAAGTCCTGGAGCCAGTCGACGCAACAACCTCATAGATGCCACTGTCTTCCTCTATGGGATGCCGGAAGACCAGAATATTCTCATACCTTCATAAGAAAAAGACGTGGTATTATGTAACTGGTGACAAAGCTTTGTTAACAAAGGTTAATTTATTAGGTATTGTGAACTAACCATAAATTTACAGCATTTATCAATCTAACTCAATGTTAATTTGTACATATACAAATATATTTATAACATTTCGAGTTGCATGAATATTTAAAAATTACCCTTAAGCTAAAATTAAATTAATTTATTTATGTAGGTAAATGTTTTTAAATATAAAAGTTTTATAGTATTTTTTTTTGTATTATTTTTTTAAATGTACAAAAAAATACTTTTCTACAGTATTTCTTTATTTATAAGTATATTATGTTCATTTTTAAATATTAAAAAAAAAACTTTTTAAAGCATTTATTTATTTAGGTTAATAAAAAGTGTTCCCATGAAACCCATTTTGTGAGCAATTTTGTGAAATTCTACCTGAGGCCACCCAGATGAGTGGTCTTGGTGGAGATGTAGCTGTCATCCAGCTGAAGGCCATCTTTAAACCACCTGACCTTTGGCTCAGGGTCAGCATCAATGTAAATGGTGAACTCTTTTTCCTCCAGAAGAGACGCAACCTCCGCTGGCCCAATCCCATTAGATATTACTTCCACAAAAGAGCTCTCTAAGGAAGGACGCAAAGAAAGAAAGAAAGAAAGAAAGAAAGAAAGAAAGAAAGAAAGAAAGAAAGAAAGAAAGAAAGAAAGAAAGAAAGAAAGAAAGAAGATTGATGACCACATCTGTTCATCCCATCTCCGTTTACTGGTTTTAATGGTGAAAGCAGAGGTGTGCAGAATCTAAGTGAGAAAGGGAAGTACATACCGTGGACTGTGATCCCCAGGCTGCTGGACTTGGTTTGTCCAGTGAACTGGTTGGTTACAGAACACTCATAGCGTCCAGTGTCTGCCACAGAGGATTTTGGGATGTTGAGGATGTACTGAACCTTGTCTGGGAAAGCTAACTTTATCGGAACAGCCTCTCTGGCCTGAATAGTGAGAGCACGAGGAGAGAAAATAAAGAGCAATATTACACATTGTGTTTACTGTGCACATGTGGAATGATGATAGACATCAGTTGCAGATTTTTTTTTTTCTATAATCTATTTAACCTACTCCATTTTTATATCAGTCTTTTCTTTGCAAAGATGCACTTTAGCCTCTGTAACACATATTCTCTTCCAGGACTAGTCTGTGCTCATATTTCAATGCAGCCTGCTGGAGATAAATCAGCTCTCCACAAGTCTTTTAAAGGGCTGCAATCAAACAAGCGCAGCAAACTCATCATAAACAACCCCAGCAGAACCAGCAGTCCAGCACAGCTTCAGACCAGACAAGGACTTGGATCTTCTCTACACAATTCCACACTGCTTTTAAAAACCAATGTCTCTTATTTTAAAGATAATGCTTCTGACAAACTCATTTAAAACAAACATGGATGGTGAGCTACATCACACTGAAATATAAACACATCTTTCCCACAAACACACACAAAAACTAACTAACTAACTAACTAACTAATTTTGATTTGGAACTCACTTTCACCACCAAGTAAACAAAAATGACATCAAATAAAGCTAAAACATTTTTTTTTTTTTTTTTACTTTCATTCATCATCATTCACACACACACACACACACACACACACACACACACACACACACACACACACACACACACACACACACACACACACACACACACACACACACACACACACACACACACACACACACACACACACACACACACACACACACACACACACACACACACACACAATTACTAACTAAAATAAACACATTTTGATTAGGAACTCACATTAATCATCAAACACACAGAAAATATTACAAACATTCCCACGTGGAATATATATATATATAGATATATATCTATATATTCCCACACAAGACCAGTAAGAAACACACATCTGTCCTGAACACTCACAGGGCGTGCAGGTCATAGGTCAAAGTACACTGTAAATTAGTGTCATTCCTTTCCTTTGAGGTTTCTACCTTCACTTTTTTAAGATTCATTTTTTGCATTTTCTCCTACTGTAACATAAAGAGTGAAGGAATACTACACCAGAAAACACCTCTGCATCACATCAGAAGTCTTCAGTTCTAGAGTTTCAGAGGAGCCAGTTTTGCATATATAAGGGAAGTACAAAAAAGAGAGCGAAAGAGAGAGAGAGAAAAAAACTTGCCTGTTTTTGGGGATGCAGCCACTGCTGGTGGAAAGCCTTTCCAGGAGGAGTCTCACAGGTGAGATTGACAGCATCCCCCTCTTTCACATACTCCATACTGGCTCTTAGCTGTATGCTGAAGCCCTGCTGTTCTTCCTCATTATCATGCTGTTCATCGTCATCGTCGTCATCTTCAATACAAGCAGAATCATTCAATAAACAATGCTGTTATAAAACTCATTTTTGCTTACTAGTCTTCTATTAATAATAAAAACGTGTGAGTGAAAACAGGACCAGTTACTTGATGCAAGGACTTAAACTTAGTCCAAGACCAATGCAGAAACACCCAATCACTTCGATTTATTCCTGTACAAATTCCTTACGCAGTGGCCTTCGACAGCCACTAAATGTTCTTCTCATGAGTAACGTGAGGTGTGTGATGATCCAAAATGAAGCAAGTGTGTGTAAGCATCTCACACCTGCGGCCCACCCCAACTCAAAATGTCATTATCTCTTCGTCAACAAGAAATTGTAATCTCCCTTGGTACTCATGTAATGTCAAAGCTATGACCTAATGTTTCACTTTATGGCCCATTATACAGATATTTTTTTATAAAAGATAACACTTTATTCCAATGGTCCACTTTAGATATTCTACTAAGTATAGGTAACTTTGCAACTACATGTCAACGACCAGTCATTAGAGTAGTAGTATAGACTTGTCTGCTTATCTGCTAAAGCTTATTTTGATGCTCCCCAACAGACATTGTACTGACTGTAAGTAACTTTGCAAGTACATGTCAACTTATTGTACTTACCCTGATCTAACAGTCTACTAATACTCTAATCAGAGGGTGAACTGATTTCACCAAGTACAACATGTTCCTGGATCAACTTCTTTGTTGATCCTGGAAAACATTCCAATCAACCAATCAGATTTGAGGGACAAGTTTACAGTTTATGTCAAGTTTAGGCTTTCAACCGGGCTTATGTGCTTTTACATCATTGTTATTCACCCATAATTTCACTCTGATTTTAGGGAAAAGTTATGGGTAGGGTTAGGTTTAGAGGTTAGGACTAAATTTCCAGACAGGAATGTTGTTCCAGGATCGACAAAAAATGTTGATCCAGGAGCATGTCTTAATTGGCAATATCACAGTGACCCTAATTAAGAGTTAGCTGACATAGTTGCAAATTAGAGAGAAATACATGAAGTTGCTAAGTTACACTGTAAAAAAAAGTTGGTGACTTAAATTTTTAAGTACAATCAACTTAGATATAAGTCATTTCAACTTAAATTACATCGAACTGACTTTTAAAAAATGAGTTGAATCTTAGCCTATATAACCTATTAAAAACTTTTTGAACTAGTTGAACTAATGAGTTAAAGCAATGCAAAAAAAAATATTGTCATAACTTATTAATCATATAATTTTTTAGAATGTCTAAAGTGGCCTATCGAAATAAGTTGTAACCTAAACACTCTGAATGTTTAATTATTTGTTGTGCATTAATTACCCGTGTCATTTGTCACATTATAAACGCTGCTCCTCACTGCTTTGCCATTCACGCTCGTCTCGCAAACGTATTGACCTGGTGATAAGATGCCGAAAAAGCCGGTCTTGTGGTCGTAAAACAGAGAAACCACATCCCCACTCTGCAGGTCTCTGAGAATCACTTGAGAATGTGGGTTTGTAGCGAGGCATGGGATAGTTATGCCCATCTCATTTGTCTCAACAACAGGTTCAGACACGAATGGAACCTCAGGATCTGTGGAACAAGAGGTGAGTCATTTTTACAAAAACATAACATGCTAATTTGTAGGCTATTCAGTAGTCGTGAACAATAACGTACCTGAAACAAAAACGTAGATTTCAGCGTTTCTTTCAGGCTGATCCACATATTCGCAGGTGTAGAGACGTGTGTTTAATGCCTCAACATCAGTGATCACCAAAGTACTGTGATTAAACCCGGAATGCATTTCGCTGTTGTCCGGTAATGGTTCGGCCCATCTCACTCTGCTTTCTCCAGAGCATGTGATGTTGAACTCCGAATGAGGTGTCAGAATAAATTCTTTTTTATCTGAATTAATGACCGGCCAAGGTTTTGAAACATCTGGAAATATTTAATGTATTTAATTAATTATACTGTAGCTTAATAGCATGCATATATATATGAAAAAAATAAATAAAATAAAAATAGCATTAATCAAAACGTATTATAATATTATTATTATTATTATTTATTTTACTAATATAAAAAGAGTTCTTTATTTATACATATATCTATATATATATAGTTTTTTTTATTCCACATACCTGAAAATACCCCTAGTAAGACAATCCCCAAAACGAGATGTGTCTCCAGGAATCCCATGGTCACTTTGATTGTGCTCAGCTGAAAGGGAAGATGTTACGATTTTAAATATTTTAAGAAAATATGAAAATTATACATATAACTTTTTTATTCTTTTTTTTTCAGTTCTGGGTTTGATCACTTGTGGTTAATCCAATGTAAAAGATGAACCTCTATTAGCTCAGGTAGCCTGAATCATCGGAAGCAGAAAGTTTTGGAAAGGTTCAGTGCCAAGACATAAAAGGTCTTTAAGAGTCTGGACGCTGTTCAGTCAGTAAACTGACGCCAGACTCTGTCGGGGAGCGCTTGGATAGATCGTTTCAGCTTCAGCTTTTTGACCAGCAGGTGGAGACGCAGTACTACACATTTCCCCCGACAGACCACCGCAGCGAGATACGAGGTTCCAAAAATTACGAAAAGACTTTGTTTACATTAGTACAGTTTTAACTTTTTAAAATCCTAAACCATACGCATAACTTAAAATATAAGACATAATAGCTCATATGGACACATCTCAGTATTAAGAATGGTTTATCTTTGTAGCCTAGTACTGCTTATCTATGTGACTCTGAGCGGGAGTTATGAGTTATTTATTTAAAATCTATATTTTTCTATAGATTGTATCTTAATATGCAATTAAATTTGGCCATCTGAAATAACATTTATATTCAAACGTTTTATGAACTCTATAAGACTAAAGTGCGTAAACAAGATTACAGTGCTGAAGCACAAATTTTTGCATTCTGTTTATGTTCCTGTGATTTCAAAAGTCCCGTCGCTGGTCTTAAAAGCTTGCCTTGCCGAGTTTCTAATCAGACATTCCACGCGCGCGTGTTTTATCTCTGTCTGTCTAATCCTCAGACCCCTGGGTTCCATCAGCGCTTCAGCACACAGCCAGTGTCACTCAATCTGAAGTGGTCAGCTCTGTTATTGCAAAACTTAATTATCCTAAAAAAAAATGCACCACCTATTTAATTGGTTCTCTGTAATATAATAATAATAATAATAAATCAAGGTAAAAAATTGATGAAATCATATCCAGTTCATTAAAACTTTTGTGAAAAAATGATACCGCAAGGTCTACTTCAAAGTGAAGGGGGGGAAACTCTTTTTTTCTTCTTCTTTTTTTTTACAGCCCAGAGAAGACTGAAGCTCTGCCATTTGCTCATTTCAGCCCCACTCAAACTAATTATCCTTGGTGAATCCGGGGGTGTTGAGTAAGACTGTAATTAGTCGACCCCTTTCTGTGCCGCAATTTGGGAATCAATTGGATTGCCGTGGGAATCAATTCTGGAATGGCAGACGGGTGCTCTTTTGGTACCGCTCATCTATCCAGCGGTGTCTGAAAGCACTTTTCTCCGCTAACCCCCCATCACCAGGCGCCCACACACAGACGCGCAACTGGCTGCCAAACACACCCGATCCGCTGCGCTTGACACTCTCGGGCAACAGCTGAGCGAGGGGTGCCATCCAACACCCGGTTACTTCACGCGTAAAAACGATTTCCATGGGAATAAAAGAAAGCGGTCTAAAGATAGCCCGGTGAGGTGAAGTCTCATAGAGCAAAAAAAATCTTCTTTTATTTCATCCAGTCACAGCCTTATTTTAATCAAAGCAACATGGTCTCCTTGGTCCTTGGTAAATACTACCTAAATTGCATTAAGTTAATCCAGATGTGAGAGAAGTTCCCCATTCATGTAGATTCATCATCGACGCGGAACTCAGCTCAGAAGGCGGCAAAGAAGTTTTTCTAAACTCCTCAGTCGTACTTTGACTTCATCGCTCCGCAATAAATAAATATCCATCCCACTGACTAATCCAAAGAAGGGTATTCCAGAATGGTCATGGGCATCCCATTTAAATTTTGATGGGTAAACAAGGCTCAAAATCCAGTCTGAAATGTGTTTGCCATTAGATGCCAGTGCTGCGCCTCTCCAAGGGCTGAGACACCCCCAGCTGCGCGCCTGTGGCTCCAACTGGGATCCAGCACAACCAGGCTTTGACTTTACGAGTGATAATGCGGTTCCTTCGGGGAAACAAGTATATATCCTCCTCGATGGTGTCCAGAATCAAAGTGGAAAAATCCGTTTATTTTTTTCTGAGCTGAAAACGAATGATTGACTTGTCCATTGTGACCGTTTATGAAAAAAAAAAATATTAACATCCACTTATCATTTAAAAGTAAAATAATTCAGTGAGTTAATATAGGGCTAAAATATTTTTTTTGTTTTGTTTCTTTTTACTGGTCGTCTCAGAAACTGAGAAAACTAGGTAAATTAAAAATGCAATTGTTAAAAAAAGAAATAAAAGAACAGCTTTAATTAGTCTAAGTGCAATTGTGCTCACAGGTTTTTGAACGTCTGCTGGAAACTTTGCATGAAAGAAAATGCAAAAGAAACTAATTAAACTAATTGAAACATACAATACCTTTTTAATCCCTTTTGGTTGTTCCCTTTGATAAAAAAGAACAGCCAAAATGAATGGCAAAGCTCTTGTAAAATACTCTAATCAGCCCAAGGGTCCTCGGTTGTAAAGCAGTAGTAATCCTCTCCCTTGTGCTGTGCTCCTCCGTCCTGCACCACGGCCACTCACACAAATGCGCCTCTGCAAGAGCAACCTGTAATTGATTCAATGTTACAGTCCATCCTTCCCAGAGAACTAATCATCTGGCTCAAAGTAAATAACTCTCAGGAAACGGCCCTCCCCTCTCCCGCTGCCCCAGGCGTCCCTTCAAAATAAGAGTCCGTGTTTTCACACTGCAGCTCCGAAGAGGAGTCAGATTACTCCGCGCTCTGCAGTTCTGAAGGAGGTGCATGAAAAGAGGTTGAGCAGGGAAGAAAAGGAGGACCATATGTTTTTCGTAAGTCTAAGAGGGGGCCCTTTTGGAATAAAGGGATCTTTTTTGGGGGGGGACAATGAAGTCAAGTGACCCATTAAAAGTGTTTTTATAGAGGCTTAGGTAGGAAAGAAATCAAAGAATTGGGAATGCCCTATTACATTCAGTAACTCGATTAACCTTGTCAGCACGCTTCATTCTTCATATTCAGCTTTCCGATGCTTGCGCTTTTCAGTGGTGGTTGCTGTTGCAGCTATTTGCACTTTCTTTTATGCATATTGTTTAAGCTGACTTTCATTTGCGGTTGTTCTGTCATTTCTGCGACTTTCAACTTTGCAGTGTTTATTCAGTCATTTTTAATTCTCATTTTATATTGATTTATATTCTCGGATAATATAGTTTAATTTTGTGACGAGTGCAGTGTTGTTGTGAAATGGGACATTCAGCAGAGAAAAATCACTAAATTGTTGGTCCGTCATTGGCACGTGCTGACGCATGCAAGGGGGCGCTCTAACATAAGAAACAAAAGCAGTCGTTCTCGGTCTCTCACTCTCTCTCTTGTATTAAATAAACCGCATCTAAGACATATACTACTCATGAAATTTGAACTTTATACCCTTTATATAGGGTTCATTTGTGTATATCTGAAAAATATGTGGAAAATTCCCTTAAAAACAAAACTGCCACCACCTTTTCTTTTTCTCTCTCTCTCTCTTTTTTTTTTGCCCTTCAGCTTTTCTTCAAGACATAGCAGGCTGCAGATAATGGCTCATTATGATTTGGTACTCTACATGTCCCTGCACACGGTGGTTCGCAGCTCTGTGCAGATGACTGACCCGGACCCGGTATGTGGTGAGTGAAGCCCCGGGGTAGGCTTGGCCCCCCTCTAGCCCTCTCCGTTCTTCCTGCAGCCGGTCCAGAGGAGCCCGAAGCCTTGCAGCTCACCCTCGCAGAGAAACACACATCTCCAGTTGCTCAGCACAATTATTTCCACATGTTCGTGTCGCCCGGCCGCACAAAAGAACAGAGTCCCTTGTTCTGGAAACAAATGACTCTAATCGGACTAAAACTGAAGCCTTTAGAAATAGCTCGCGGGATACCTTGATCGGCGCTTAAATGCACTGAAGTGTGCACAATATTGTCAACAAATACGCGCAACTATGCAGGTTTGTTATTGTTTACTTAAGATATCTGCATTAAAGGTATTCATCAACGAGCGTAAGCAGACATGCCACACCATGTAGAGGATGGCTATGTGATAATGAAAAGTTTCCAAATGACTGAATATGACCAACACAGCTGAAGTCTCAAAAGGTGGCCTGAAAAGTTGCCGCTATTTTACCAGTTTTCCGATTTGGCTGTAATTTTTATTTAATAATAACGTTTAATGCAAATTGTAATTTTTATTTAATAAATGAGTTCCAAAACTACAACTAAACCTTGACAATACAATACCACAGGACTGGTTTGTTCTCATTCTTGGGAGATTGTTCTCAACGGAGAAAATCCTAGATAACATTAAATATTCCATTCAGCGATAATGAGACTGCTGGTCGGAAATCCTCGATTTAGGTTTAGATAGAAGAATGTCCAGTATGGGACGAATGCGTGAGCGGGAGGGAGAATCTGTCTCAGCCACGGGACACCAGCAATTCAGTCCACCTCCTCACAGTATGTCTGACGCCAAGATGAATAAATATGCGCATACAGAGAGAAGTTTCGGCAGAGCTGAGTTTCTAATCTTTAATTTCTGAAAGAAGAAATGCGGTGTCTTGAGTTTTTTTAAGCCTAGCCCTAGTCTATCTGCAGAGATATAACCACATGGTGGCGTATATGTCCATCGGTGGGATAGCCTACATCCATCTCTCTCCTGTCGTCAGTTCAATTCAGTAAGAGAGAGAGTGAGAAAGAGAGCGAATTAATACAATTGAATCGAATAACAAACCACATCAAAACGAATGGTTTTAACTTTATTAGCACAATAACTACTTATGAAGAGAGGGTGAAATAACGGCAGAGATTTGAGGTTTAACATTTTTACATAGTGTAGGCCTATATTGTTTGCATCTCTCTCTCTCTCTCTCTCTCTCTCTCTCTCTCTCTCTCACACACACACACACACACAGATAGAGAGAGAGAGAGAGAGAGAGAGAGAGAGAGAGAGAGAGAGAGAGAGAGAGAGAGAGAGAGAGAGAGAGAGTGACAATGCTTCATGGTGTTCACAGTAAAGAGATGGGCAGGAAAAGAGTAGACTAATAACTTGTTTAGTTGTACTTTCTACGTTGTCAATTGACTTAACACAAATGCAAATAATATAGACAATTCAGTTCAGTGTCAACTTTTCTTAAGGCAAATTTGAGATTAATCCTCATAGCTCATTAACTGTGAAAATATGCACAGATTTTGTTTGCATTTATATTTGAATAGAATGTATCTGATATATATATATATATATATATATATATATATATATATATATATATATATATATCTTATAAAGAACATAACTTTGTTTTTAAGAAGTTCGTTGCATGGTATAGTAAGGTTTAGAGAGATTAATTTGATCATTTTTATGATTAAAAAAAAAGAGAATTCTGAACTCGGACTCTTATTCTGTCACTTATGGTTTTCTGTGCATTAGTTCAAACAGATTTCAGATCTGGTGAGCAGTAGTTGGTGATATGGAGTCACACTCCTTGATTGGTCAGTTGTCATCGGTCTCAGTCTGTCGCGCTGTTTTCACACACGCGCTGTCCAGCGTGCTGAAGCTCGCAGCTTTTTTTCTTTCTATATCGGCTATATATTTGTGGGCGTGTGGGCGTGTGGGCGTGTGAGCGTGTGGCCGAGGCAGAGGCGCTACTGCTCTGCGCGGAGGAAGTACTTTATAATGAATAAAGGCTGACCTTGGACGCAGAAAACCGAGTCAGCACAGGCGTTTAGCCCAGGAAGAAATGTACCTTAAGAACATGCTTTTTCTATGGGTTTGGGATGCCCAGAAATCCGAAATTTCAAAGCAAAAGTGAAACAATAATTTCATTTTTTTTTTTATCTGTATGGCAGAATTATTGGGTGATGAAACTGCATATTGCCATATATTCTGCATATATAATCTGTTAAAATGGGTCCCTAATAATAACCATCATTTTGTCCAGATTTTCATAAACTTGTGATTTTCTTCCCTAAAAGTCTCTGGTCTATTCCAAATCTTCAATCCTGCTGGTTTCAAAAGGAAGCTGGGCAAGAGTTGCAGAGTAATAGCTGTTGCTCTGCAAAGACCAATCTGCATTAAACTTGGTTTGCATTGTCAACAGGATATTCAAGCACCAAAATTCGTCAACTTCCGACCATAATGGGCGCTAACACCAAAAAACGCTTGTAACTGCAACCTTTCTATCGAGGAAGTTGAATTTGTGGTTTCTTTTGGAGTTTATTTGCTGCATGTACCAACATAACCATAGATAACATTTTAGCAAATCAACAAAACTGCTTACAGCCATACAATTCAACAGCCTTTTATTGCAAGGCCACTAGCCTTTAGCATAATCTGCCACGAAACATCAACTTCACATCTTAATGCAAAATGTCCCCACAGTTCCCTTCCATTGGGCCTCTTTTTTTCATTAAGTATACTGATTATTTGGCAAATAGAAATAATTTTGATGTTTGAATGCTTTTTAATATAAAAATCAGATTTAAATGAATGTAATATTTTTGACCTTGCAGTCTTGTTCTTGACTTATCAAACCTCTGTTTCTCTGTATTGTCTTTTTCCACTTCATCCACCTGTTCTGAATCCACATTTTGAAATCTTGTTCAGTCAGGTTTAGTGTTACAGCCAGAATGCCTTCAAGGCTGTAAAATGTAGGCTATAGGGCCAACTTGTTAAACAGAAACTCTTTCTCCAGTTCCAGAAGCGGAGGCCTATACTGTTTATTCGGTCTGGCTCCTCTTGTTGTCCTCGCAGAAAAAAAATCCCTAAAATGTAAACGTTCAAAGAATCACAATACATGATGTTTTATTAGCAAAGTTTCGGGAGGAGCACGTTCAGTTAATCAACTCAATTAGAGCGACAGGAGGTATATATACATCAGACTTACCTCTGTCCCACAACAGTTTTCCAGCATCTCCTCAATCCTAACTATTCCTATCCCAGCCTGGGATGGGGGTGGGTACTCTGGGTTCGGGCCAAATTCCGAGCTCGGAGCCCTCTCCTCGGACAGCACACCAAATTTACTCTATCTGATTGGTGTGAACTTGTGAATTGCTTAAAGAACATACAATTGATTACGATGATACATTGATATGTTTTTATTCATTCAGATTATTTCTCATAGACCTCAAGCCTGCTTTCCAACTAAATTACTCATCCATCCATCCATCTTTCTTTCCATCCATCCATCCATCCATCTATTTATCCATCTATCTATCTGACGCTGATCCCTATTTCCACCTGAAGAAGTTGGCCAAAGTAATAATATTCTATATTCATATAATGGCCTATATTATCTCATTCAAAGCTGATCTCTTTTTACAACGGCTATACATTCGAATCCAGCAAAGCCACTAAGCACACTTGATAATAGTGGGCACGCTCAGAGGCGCAACAATGGGACGCATTAAAGAGGAGTTGACACGTCTCAGAAAGGACCCATTCTAGAGAGCGCAAAAAAAACGCACATATTGTGTGATGACTGAGTTCCCACTAAATTAAGTTACCATGGACAGCACTGATGGGACACGTGTCTAGAATTCGCAGTTCCAACATCTTTGAAACAACTGGTTTCGGACGGAAACTCAGAGAAGCCCAAACGATGTCCTCAAGTTCGACGAGAGTGTCACATCAACCACGTTTTTCATCATTGTACTTTGCAGTTTAAACTATTAAAGAAGCGATTTCCGCGACTGAAGACAAAACCGGTTTTGGAGGCATTCATTGCCCGAGTGCCCCACTTCTCTCAAGGCGAAAGCAGCTGCAAGCGCTTAAAAGGGGATTCTATTAATTGCTCTTTGTCCTGCGTATAATTGCCCATTTTGCGAAAGAACGTAATCTTTTAAAAGCGGAGCTGTACTTTGTTTCCATTTTATATTTGATTTTAAGCATCGGATTCTCAAATATGGTACTCAACTGCACCACCCAAGTGATATTAAATGCCATAACACCAAATGAAAGCTTGCATCACCTTGCCTCACATCCCAAATAGCTTAAAACAAGTTTATAGCCTACAGCTTGCAAAACAAAGTAACTGCCAATAGGCTAAGTAACTAAATAAATGAATAGGCTATTTTTAATTTTTAATATCCGTTAAATATGAAGTAAAGTAAAAGTTCTCAAAAATCCAAACTCAAAACTTAGTTACATCTGACGAATCTGGGGTCAACCGTGTCACGTCTGAAAAACGAGTCAGTCCTGAAACGGCTGAAAACTCTTTTGTCGGGAGGTCTTTCTCTCTCACACACCTGCAAGGGGTGAAGTCTAATTCGATTAATAAGAAATTCAATATATATTCATTAGGTGCCTTCCCTCGATAATATATGATCGTGAAGCGAGACGTGAATGGAGGCCATTTATCCCCTCTCTGAAAGGACCTGCGTGGGACCAAAATTTCACCTGCTTCCCCTCTCAATTAGGAATGTATCCCAAACTCTGACGGAACACGAGTTAAATTAAGCGTTCGCTAATTTCCTATCACCCCTCCTACGTAATCCCTCAATTTTCAGAATGCCCCCTCAATTTGGCCCAAGTTGAAAGGTTCAAATAGTGCCTAATGAAACAGTGACTAAATCGTTTTCTCGCGCGCGGAGGAACCCTGTAGACGTCTCGTGAAAGGCCTTGAGCTCGCCGCCGTCGGGGGTCCGCCGGCTAAATGCGAGTTCCTGGCAGGACAATCTAACCTGTCAAAGCCTTTGGCCAGCTCTGCGTAGCTTTTTTCCCCCTCGTTCGTATTGAAGGAATTGCTACATAAGCAACCAACGTGGGACAAAAACTGCAATTAAACTCCTTTCGGATTAATTTAACAGGGGGACAACCGTCTCTTGAAAAGCGCACAGAATAGGGTCGGCGTATAATCGACTATCACCTGGCTCGTGAGATAGAAAGTCTCTGCTATAGGCCTTTTGTGGCCTGTGCACTATAGGAGGGAATATATGAGAAGAACAGTGGAAATTAAGTGAAAATATATCTCATATAATGTTTAAATGGTTCTTAAAGACCAAGTGAGCCCGTGCAGTTGAAATGAAAGAATAATAATAATAAAAATCATAATTAAGTGATACAATTTTAAAATCAGATCTGTAGACACAAATGAGTTTCACATTAATTGACTTCAGGAGGCTTTTAAATAGAGTTTCCCTTGTTCTCTTTGAAAAGGGGTCGGAAGGCTTTGCCGTGTTTGCAAATGCTTTTAGCGTCATAGCTGATACTGGTTTACACTATGGCAGAAATACAAATCCAGAACTTCACGTATTTGCAATGTTTGTCTCTCAAAGTTCTATTCACGTCGAATATAAATTGATGAGGGTTGAACGAGTGTATTTTGTGAGTGCATTTATAGGCTATACGGTTTGCATCAAACCAAATTTTCTCTGGCTTTTTCCCAACCCAACTTTTTTCATCCTGATCGTATATTGTCAATTCAATATGAATGTGATCTACCATATATTTAAATATATGCATATAATTATAAATAAATATGCAGGTAATGTTTTTATTTCATTAGAATGAGGTTTATTAAATGTTGGTTTGGATTCCTGTAATATTTAAACAGGTGTCTTCCAATAGGACAATTAATACATCTCAGAACTGATTCGTGTAGTTACAGGAGTGATTTATTTAAATAAATACAAATATACACATTTTTTAATAGGCACATAAAATTCAGGTGAAAAAAAAAAAATCACAGCTTCTCAGTAGTCTAGGACAGATTGGATTAACAGTCTGCATATTTACAATATCACGCAGGGAGTCTTTTATAATCTCCATTTGTCTAACATTTATCCTTAAAAGGAACAGGGATGGCAGAATGGGTTACCAGTGGTAGTTTCAAGAACGTTTTCACTTAAACTGTAAAAAGGTTATTGACTTGCATCACAACTATTATTTAACAGTTTGTCGTACAGATAAGACAAATAGCGGAGCTGTCAGGGTAAAACAATATTTTGAGAGGGAAGGAATTGGCAGTGCTAAATCTCCATACACTTTGGGCTATTGAACGACAGAAGACAGTGTCCTATAAATTCAGTCGTTTCAACGGATCCGTAAACTTTTGAATGTGTCATAAGGTACCAAACTTAAGTCTGTGATGTTCGTGACGCTTCTAGATCGGCGATGTTTCCTTCTCCTCTGTGGCTGACACAGGTGACAGGGATTCTTCGTCTTCAGAGCGCGGATAGTGTGAGTGGCTGCCCGAGCATTTGCATCCTGCGTGCGCGCTCCGTGGCGTGCCTTTGCCTTCTTTCTTGTGTTTAACGCGGCGGTTCTGGAACCATATTTTCACCTGTTTCTCTGACAGATTTAGATATGTGGCTATTTCGATCCTGCGTAAGCGGGAGAGGTACATGTTAGATGAGAATTCGCGCTCCAACTCAAGCAGCTGAGTGCTGGTGAAGGCGGTGCGCATCCGTTTGCCGTTCTGTATGTGGCTGTTGTCAGACGCGCCTATAGGGGAAAAAAACCACACACAAAAATATTAAAATCACGTCAATGCCTAGTAACTTTGCAAAATAATTCAACGAATGCCGTTAACACACCAGTTTGTTTATTTTAGATGTAATTGTTGCTAAACTGCATATCAAGATAGTGCATTAAAAGATAAAGTAAATAAAAAGTAAAACAAAACAAAAAAGTAACATGCGTAAAGACTTTTGCATTCAATATATTATGTCAAATAGTTGAGCGTAGGTAACAGGTGTGGTAGCATGCGCGCGCACCCACTCACCTAGAGACAGACAGTGATACCTCCGAGGGTCAGTGACGCTGTAGCTTGTGGGCGTGCAGACAGGCGCGTGTCCGTGTCCCGGGTGCGCTAACGCGGAGCTCTGTTGGTGTGCTACCCTCTGACAGAAAGCCGCATCACCGGCAGAGAAGCCCTGTCCTTTCAGCAGTGGGATTCCGCCGCGGGAAGAGTGGATATGCGAAGTTACGCACAGCGGACAGACACAGAAGGTGCCGGTCTTCCGGGACGGGCAAACGGGCGCAGTGACGCTCATCACGCCGGGAGAGTGCATGCCAATGGGGATGAGAAAGTCCTGCCCCGTGTGCTCTCTTAGAGCCGGGCGCGCGGGATCCTTGATAATCAAAGAGTCTACGTAGAAAGACCTCGACATGATTGCTCCTGTCTGCGTGAGATGCTGATGGTGTCAGTGATAGACCACACTGATAGCGTTGCTCCAAGGACTTGCGCAGTACACAGTGGTCTTAACACTGTTCTGAAGCCCTCGGGAGCTGGCTTATGTTTGGTAGTTCAACAAAAGGGACCCCGGAGAGGGCCGGCCCTAACGTCACCCACGTGCGCTGCACGGCCTAGGGGCTTTAGTACCTCTGGTGTCCCGAGACACGTGATGCCCAGGCGAGCCTCCAATCAAATCTTTGCCCATACAGTCTTGTTAGCTCACAAGGTGGCACAACAGCTCTGGCGAGTACGCCTACTGAGATATCAACAATTATTCTATTATACTCCCGCTCTAATAGATTCATATTTTGATTTACAGATGACGTTGGAGAGAGCGAGGTAAAGGCCTAAATTCCTTACAAGCTGAGCCATACATTGTCTGTATGTGTCGAATTAAAATAAGTTACCTCCTCCAAATGGGGGAATTACACCTCAGTTGTCAAATTATACAAATAAATAACACAAGGGATCATTGGCCAAACTATCTAAATGCCATGTATATAAGTAGTTAACAATCTTTCCTTTTTCTACTGTGATATGGGCTTAAAATCTCTTGAAATGGCTACTGTTTTATCACTAACTTGGCCTAACCTTAAACTTCAGACAACGTATAGAATAAATGATGTATCGACGGATTTGTATCTTTAAAACAAACAAAAGGCTACACAAATGTGCAAAACAAATCCTTTATTTAATTGTATTTATTTGAGAAATTATAAACAGAGATTAACAAAGGAAAGTTTAGTAGTAAATGAGGCTAATAATGAACTTCTGGGATTTAATAAACGAACAAATAAGATTATAACTGATTATAACTTTGGTTTACATTTTATTCGAAAATTCAGTTTAAGTCTGTTTGGAAAGATCTCGGGCCGGCAATTAAAGATTTATGATTCTCAGTGGAGTCTGGCCATTTGCAATTTGATAGCGATTAGGATTCAATTAGAAAGCGTTTATTGTAGAGGTTTTCGGAGTGGATAAACAGCCAGCTATTCCAGAAATGCGCTAATCCCTCATCTTGTGACAATAATTAGCAGGTTTGATCTCTCGGCGGGTCAGCGGCTGGTTAAACTTCCACTTTTATCTGCGCGCGAACGCCTTTTACCCCCAGACGCTGCGCCAGGAGGCCAGTGGCGCAAAGCGAGCGAGCGAGCTCTGACGAGGTTAAATCTCGCCAAACCGGTAGGTCTGGTATTACTCTACCTTCAACTTCTTGCAGGAGAGACTTAACCTCGTCAAATCTTGTCTGAAGATTACAGTGAAAGCAATGCTGTCAATCTATAAGAGCTCTAATGCCTGCGCATGAAGGCTGCAATTATCTCTGCGCACACTCAATTACAGGCCTGACACCTGAGCTTTTCAATAACACAGCAAAACACAGTAAAATCAGCTCTCATTCGGGCCGGCTTTTATGGATGTTATGATAAAACTGAAAGTCTACTAATGATGATTGAGGGCAAAGTTCAAGCGCTGTAATGACGATTTCATATCAGCATTCAGCGCTAATATCACCAAGAGGAGGGTGCTTTGCTTTCATAGGCATTTAATTGCTGAAATCAGCGGCAACTCTTCTTAAACGAGGTAGAATGTGACTTTAAATGGGCTGAATTGGAGAGGCGAAAAAACAAACACATCTGTCATTCTGGCTGTAATTGGTGTAATGGTGGAAACACGGCGTATGAGAGAAGAGGGAGAGACAGACAGAGAGAATGAATGAAGAATGACAAGCCATGCGGAATGATTCGCGGCGCGCGCCCATCATACCGTCCAGTCTTCAATATTATTATTATTTTTCTTTCCATAATTCTTCACGATAAAATTTCATTGTCTATTAAGTAATCCCACAAATGAGAGCCTTTATGAGTCTGTAATGAGCTCTAATTGCTACGACTAGCCGGGCCACGTGGAAGGATTTAAGACTTAAGCTGTCGGGTACTGTGCACAGAGTGTTACCTAGCCATTACTTTCATAATTCAAGGGGAAAATTAGCCCATTTAAGGAAAAAAATCCTTTGATTCCTTTCATTCTGCTCGGGGTGATAGGAATACATTTTTGTCTGCTTGGGTTAAGACAGAGAGCCTAACAAATGCGTAGCAAGGTTTTCAAAGAGAAACGATAGTGGCTGAATGACGTTAAAATTGCAGAAAAAAAATCTTGTAAAGATTGTAGGCTAATCAGTATTTTTAACTTTTTTTTTTTTTCAGTTGTAGCCTATGTGTTGGCTAGTTGGGCCTATTTGAAGCCTGGGTTCTGGCTTTATATTGCAGTGTTCATTACAAGTAGTCTGTTGAGTAAAATAAATGATCAAAATTACCCGTATTGTCCTCAGGTCATTTTTTATCCGTCTTCTGTAAAGAATGCGCTATAAATACCACATCGTGTTTGGCACTATTCATACGACATTGTCAAGAACATCTAAGAAAATAAAAACAAATGTTGTTCATAAAACTAAAAGGTGCTCCCGTGATCTTTATACTGTCAAGAAATGCAATACTTTATACTGTGATCTTTATACTTTGGCTTTTGAGTAGCTATTACTATATTTTACATTTCCTAAGATTTTGCCCCTTATGTTTTCGATGCTAAAGCAAAGGCCACCTATAAAATAATAATAATAATAATAATAATAAACCCCATTGGATGTAAATTTCTCTTGAAAAACTATTACACCATAAACACCATGTAATACCTATAAATTATTTTGCATAAGAGGTAGTGGATGGATTTGTGGGTCCAAATTATGGAGTTTATTTTGTTAAATACTCATGAACTAATAGCTATAAAAGTTATGTATGAATAATTAAGAAGTTCTTATAAAAAGTGAGGCATTGCGAATGGCAAAATCATTTAAATAAACTCGGGGGAAAAGGACAGACCCTGCTGAACTTGTGTTCCAAAATTCTTTAATATTCCATTACTCAACCGGTTGTTTTATCAATATTGATTAAAATGTTGTTGTTATTGTTGTTGTTTTTCGGGGGGGTTTTCGGGTCCAGATGAAACATTTTCATTGACACCACAAACCAGACCTGTTATATCTTGAATTTTAAATGAATTTCAATTCAAGGATCACAGTGCAATTTCTTAGGAGAGATAATGTGCAGTTATTGGGAGAAACTGCTTACAAATATTCAAAAAATAAATAAATAAATAAAACAAGAATTATATTTACATCAAATATGTGGCTGTCTCTATGTGATGTATTGAAAATGAACACCGCTGTCAGCGTATTGTGCCAAAAGCTCTCACCTTCAGTCCTGTGCAATATTGCACTATAAGAGGTCCATAACTGCCGTATTGCATAAGTGTCATTAATTTGTGTCAACGCCTCCTCACAAAAGTTGCATTGTGGCGCAAGGGGCCAGCCTGCGGCCCATCCCGACTGATACAGTGGGTGATTCCCCCCATTCCCAGTAACCAAGCAACACACGGTGAATACTGAAAACTGAAAAGAAACACTCGGGTTTTCAATATAGTCTTCAATAGCAAGGGGAAAATGAACAATGATCCCGCAGACAACATAATGCGGCGCAGTGACTTTTCATTGCCAATTATCTCCTTCATCTGAATAGCAGCTGCAGGGCCTGCTCTTCATTTCATCGTTTGGGGGGCTGAGTGGGGGGCTTAAATTCAATTGCCTGTGTGTGTCAAAATCTAATTTATGTCTTAATGACGGATACGATTTTTATGAAAAGGAGCCGGAGCCACACACATAGGAATTTCTACAGGGATCTGCAACTGTTGCTTATTCTCAACGTTTTTCTTCACGACTAAACGACGGGGTATATTTATTAAGAGAGTTTATCTTTCAATAAACACACAAAGAATGGGTGAGACTGAAAGAGAGGCCTCGTAAACAACGCGCAATTAGGAGAGGCCAGAAAAACAAGATAAATGCCGACAGATTCGGTGATGCTGAACTCAACGTTACCCACAGAATCTCCACTAACCTCATTAAAAAAATCCTCTCTCTCATCACCTTATTAGAGCGCACAACTCTTCCTAATAGCCAGCCAACAGTTCTTTCCGAACGACTAGACAAACATTCATGACTAAACCACAACAGGCGAGACGCAGGATCAAATAGCCCTTATGCCGATTGCGTTTCGCCTGACATGCTGAAATAAAATCTTGTAAATATGTATAAAGGCCTTACTCAAAGGGGCATTGAGATCTGCAGAGTCCAAGACACTCTTTTAAAATATCTAGTTTATAACAGACGTTTACTGGTCCGAGATAAATAGGACCACATTATAATAAATCACATTTGTTCCATGTTTATCCAATTTAATTCCAATGTAAATGTAAACAAACTTGAATTCTCATCTATAGAATTTAAGATGTAATTGACAATGTTATTTTCATCAGTTAAAGCAGCAGTTGAAATCCTTTTTTATGCAGTGACTTCATGTAGGATATCTTAATAAATCTTAGTCAAAATCATTTATTTATATGATGATCAATTATTAAAAATGACTCAAATTTGTTTTCCGTTTGTCATGCACCTGAAAAATATATAATTATAGGAATTATAAAAATAAATGATATCAGAATGTTACAAGACATTGACAGTTTTTAACATATTATCTGTTTACTGTTTGAAAGTTTAATAAATCAAATGACCAATTCAGTTTACCTCAACTCTTAAAAATGATCACATTCATTAGTATTGTTATGAAATGATGTTTTGGTCTTTTCTGGTCACGTGGAGTTTAAGTTTTAAGTTAAGTTGAGGGATACATGGTCTGTTACACTGATGCTTTCACATGGAAATTATATTCTATTATGAGTAAATAATTTATCCTGTTAATATATCTGTATAACGCAACTTTCTTTTGATTTACTTTTTAATAAATTCAATAATAATCATTACATAAATGCATACATAAAAAATGCAAAAAACAGAACAGTGTAAGCTCATAACACCACACGAAAAGGTAGGAGTCCTTCTATTGTCAGAAAAAAAACTAAGAAGTTAGCAGAACACAGATTCAGCAGTGTTCCCTTATTCTGATGAGGGCTTCCTCTGTTCACTCTCTTGTGAGCAGATGCACAATTTATTGATTGGCTTGAGTGTAAAAGTGGTGTTTTTCTGTCAATTACAGTAATGTTTATCATGGCTCATTACCGCACATTGTTACACAAATACACACCACTCTTCCAAGATTGCCCTCTTACTAGGGAACACTAGTTGACTTTAATGACTACCGTCAACCCTTCCCTCTCCCACACACTCTTTCCCCCATCACTTCCTTTCTGGATGAACAGGGCACACAT